ATATGACTCGCACTGCCAAAAAGTTTTCGGATTTCATTTAAAGTCAAGCTTCGAATTCTACACGCCCTAACTGTACAAGGCCTAACTTCACAAACATGTGGCTTGGCATTTCGTTACCACAAGAACTACTGTATAGCAGAAAAGTAATAAAACAGACAGGGTCTGGCACAAAAGCCTTCTCTCCAAGCTTCCGGCATACTGTCTGCCAGCCCAGTTCTGTTCTTGGGTGGTGACTTCCTGCATGAGCGTAGAATTCGTGTCCTTACGGATGGTAGTTCACGGTTCATGTCAGTGAATGCCAGCGTTCCCCAGGGCTCCGTCCTATCCCCCACTCTCTTTCTGCTGCATATCAATGACTTGATTCCTCTTGGGAATATTCATTGCTATGCAGACAGTGCATGCGGGGTATCTCGGACAAGCAGCGGCTGGGCAGGCGGTAACCAAGGAGAAACGGGAGAATCTTGTCATTGAACTCAATCAGGCTTTGGACCACATTTCCGAATGGGGTACCATGAACTTGGTTGAGTTCAATGCCAAGAAAACGCAGGCTTGCGCTTTCACGGCAAAAACATCGCCATTCCTTCCCCTTCCCTCTCTTCAGGGCACAACACTACCGCTACAGAGCAACATTTCCATGCTCGGTATGGAAGTTCGCTCAGACCTGAATCCAAAGGACTACATCGAAACCGTGATCAAAACAGCTTCACGCAAACTCGGAGTCCTGAACAAGGTGCGGCGATTTTTTTACGCCCGATCAACTGTGCTTGTTGTACAAAACGCAAGTGCGGTCCTGCGTGGAATATTGCTCGCACCTCTGGGATGGCTCCGCTAAGTACTTGCTCCATGCTTTGGATAGGTTACAGCGGCGCACGATCCGAATCATAGGCAATGTGGAGGTGACTAAACACCTTGAGCCTCTTAAATTACATCGTGACGTGGCGTCACTAAGCGCGTTCTATCGTCTGTACCACGGCGAGTGTTCTGAGGAGTTATTCTCTCTTATCCCACCTTCCCCTTTCCTTCAGAGGACCACGCGCGCTGGCCTACGTTGTCACCGTCTTACTGTGGCTACAATTCCAACGCGTACAAAGAAATTTAGTGACTCATTTCTTTGTCGCACTATCCGTAAATGAAATGCTCTGCCCGCTCACGTGTTCCCTCCCTCTTACAACCTGGGATCCTTTAAAAGAGGCGTGAAGAAGCAACATGCAGGCCGGCAGGGTGAGGATGGCTGGTGTGGCAGGTAGAACTGCTGTTTCAGCTATTTTCGCGTCTGGACTTCACCTTCACTTAACATCAGGTGGGGTGGAGTCATTTGCCCGGACCTATCTATAAAATAAACAATGAAAATAAAATATGAATAAAATATGACGTGCAGAGAGATTCCAGATTACAGGAAAACCTATAAGAAGTATGCAGTAATTAAAATAAAATAAATATTTAAGAGACGCTCGCATTGAACAGACGTGATTTTTTCCCAGAAGATAACTTTTAGAGCAGTTTTACAGATGTATGGTGGCACTTCTTTAGGCACGCTTGACTTGGGGGATAAACTGGTGAATGTGTTATGATTTCGCGTTACGATTAGTGTCATCGATAAACAATGAACAATACCCGTCACAAAATACATGAATCTATAGCTTGGTGGGAGATTACGGACCCAGCGCGGATTGGTGGTTGATAACGATCCCAGTGCGGATTGGTGGGTGATAACGGACCCAGTGCGGATTGGTGGGTGATTAAGGACCCAGCGCATAAAGAGAAATTGAAAAAACATAGTTTTCTTGGCTTACTTATATATTCCTTTGTTGATAAAAAATGATGAAATGTTTGAATTTGCTGAAAACGTTAAAGAGAAATTATATGTTTTTTTAAACAGAAATTATACTGACTCAGACGCAAAATTAAACATAAAATAAACTTGTAAGAAATCTTATGAAGTTTGTATTTAAACGTACCGTTCAAATCTGCCCCGTTTGCTTTTTTCAAATCTGTCCCACGGTCACTTGGAAAATAAAATATTACAAAACAAATAATTTGAAATAACTGGCAAGCAAAAACAACAAGGTGGGTTGAAAACTAATAAGTACTGCATAATTTTGTGAAAGAATTAGTTAGAAACCTTTAGTCACATGATAGTAAGTGCCTTACAACATTTATTTTTATTTTTTACTTCATCGGTACAAATACGACGACAGCTTATAAATCTTTTTAAAAACGAAACGCGCGCGCTTTTTTACTTGACGTTTGTCACAGCCAGTGCTGCCAATATTAAAATGTAGTTACGGCATAAATTAACATAAAGTTACGTTCCGAAATTAACATGTTCAAATCTGCCCCTGTGCTAATGTGTCTCCTTCTCCCCTTAGTAATTTTAAACAACTCATAAATAACAAAAGGATGTCGTATCTAATAGCGATAGCCATAGCAATCTGGGTAGGTGACCGGCTCCCTGGGGGGCAATCGTCTAACAGGATTTTTATGGCTATCGCTATCGCTTTCATATTGTTATTTATGACTGCCGAAGGTTTTCAAATGCCTTACTCTCGTTTTTTTTCTTTTGCATTGGTAATGGGCAAACCTTCGGTGGTCAGAAATAACAAAATAAAATCGTAAGCGATAGCGACAGTCATAGCGACAGCCGTAGCGCCAGCCATAGCAATCCCGTAGGCAATTCATCCCTTGAACTCCTTTGGGTACGGGATTGTGTCAGGGTAGGCAACAGCGCGAGTGATAAAAATTTGGACGATTCAAAGAGTTGTACTATACATCCAATTTTAATAAAGATATATATGTGCGTGAAAACCTAAGAAACAAATAAAGATATATTGATTGATATTTTTTGTATTGCAAGCGTCTATAGGCTATTGTGGCCGCTTACCTTCAGGCGGACCATATGCTTGTTTGCCACCCTTTTAACATAAAAAAGACATGCGTGAACAACAAAATATATAGGTATCTCGTACAAAGTCTCTTTGTTCTAGTTTAAGTCGGTTTTAAAGCATAGTATAAATTGTCGCATTATTTTTACTAAAAGACAAGATGTCTACAGCAACGGGATCATTTCATACTAATCGCAAAATGGCAACAATTAAAGGAACAAATTGACAATAAATTTATAACAAAATCTTTATAAATTAAAAAATGTTTAATAAAACTTATGATTTATTATTAAATAATTAATTAAGCTTTTACGCATTATGGCGCATCAAAGTTTTCCTTATATCAATACTGTCTTGTTATTTAAAAACTAATTATGTTTTTTTTGTTAATGGGTAAGCTTGAAATCCTTTATCCAGCCAGAGAGATGGGATCAACCACAGAACGGTGTAGAGAGCTTACACAGAAGGATTAGATAGGCTCCTTCTGGGCGAGCTTTAAAAAGAGTCGGATTATGTTAGCTAATTTAAATAAATTTGTTTCTTAGTTTTTCACGTCATTTTCATTAAAACACAAGTTTCAACGGTATAGATGCACTGATTTATTTATTTATTGACGTTTCCTTTTCAGGGTGCGTCGTCTGAATTATCATTTTGCAAAGACGACGCATCCTGTAAAGGATGCGAAACGTCACAACTATAGATCTTCGTACGTGCTCGAGTCCGACTCGCATTTGACCGGTATTTTTTCGTCTTTTGTCGTCTGTGCAACGCTCTATGTTACGTTACGTTTTTTTTAATTTCTACAGGTTAAAAAAAAGTTTTTAATACAGGGAGAAAAAAACAGTCCTAGCTTGAGTTTCTTGCCTTCTCTTCTTGGTTTTTTCAGTACAAGCTCTCACGCTTTGCTCTTTGTTGCGAACCCATGGCGTAGCTACTCGACTTTCACACGTTCTTCTAAAAGCCGTAACTGAATCAATGATATTGAATTTAAATTCTTGATTTTTTAAATGGATATGGAATGTTAAGCTAACTCACCTTCGTAGCTCTGCCACCATGAAAGCATTAATTTTGATTAAGTTAACTAAGAGATGTTATTAAAAATCAAAGTTTGAGACTAAACGACCTTTCTTCTATCATTATAAACTCCTATAAGTTAATGTTACTCCTGTAGGACTTAAATCAAGTGCAGTTGAAAAGTTCATGTTAATAGTAAGTTACTGAATATGCAGAAAATAAATAATAATTTTCTGTTATGGTTATTAAGTTAAATATTAAAATGTGAGCCCATATTCAATATTACCAAGGATCCAGATGTAAACCTTGAGGGAGCCTGGATGTTCATATTGAAGATGATAAAGTATTTAATAGATTTTAATCCTAATTTAATAAGTTTTTAACCACCGATATATTCTATGTATCTCAAATATCAAAAAATAATTGATTCAACTCTATCTAAAGCTCTATAAAAATTGAAATTCAGAATTTACAAAAAAAATGATGCATATTTACTCTCATTTTAGCAATTTTCTCATTTCATCAAGTAAAATTGCAGAAAAATTAAGCTACGTGGTTAGTTTTCCAAAAATAAATATGTTTAAAAATCAAATGTAGGATATTTTATAAATTTTGTTCATAAAGTATCTATACTTACTGTGAGGGGTGTTTATCAGATTTGCTAATTATTAAAAAGTAAAACTTCCGGATCATAAGCGAATAAAAATTGTTCTAAATATAATGTTTATCAGCTTAATTACACCACAATAATGATATAATTATTCTTATTGAAGAGGATGATTCAATTCATAAATCTTTAGTAGGATAATCAAATGTTAGTCAGGGTTAAAAGTAGTACTTCAAAGGTAGATACTTGAACAATTTTAGAATTTTAGCACTAGTTGCTATGACAGTTGACTGTGGTAGTTGAACCATTCAACGTTGATGTAAATGATAACTAATAGGTTACACAGTAGCTTGCAGAACGAGATAATGTAAGTAGGTATGTATTCATGCGGGTTATCTGTCTGTAATTTGTATGTAGGCACTACGTCTGTATACACGTTGTGGAATGCGCTCTATACACGCTTGCTTATACCTATGTTTAAAGCGGACTCGTAAATAGATTGAATGGGTAGGCATACCTACCTACTACTTTTTGCTTACATTGCCAGTTCGTTTTGCGCTATCCGAGTCCACACCGTACAAAGCATCAGTCAGTGATTCGGTGTTGCTGGACCGTCGTGTGTGCCCTGTGTGTATGTAATGTAAACATTAGCCTGAGGAATGCATTTAGACAGTAGGTGCTGGAATATTATCATGAGCGGTGATAACGTGGCGGCGAGTCGGCGCGGCTCAGTCGGCGACGAGGGGTCGCGTGGTGCGGTCGCACGCTGCTCAGATACTCGACAAGTGACGTACGAAAGCACTCTGTGTTCGCGCTCGCGTACGCGCCGCATTCCATCGTGGGGGCCCTTCCCCGCCATTGGCCGATCCCGTGTGACGTCACTCCTCGTAATGAGGTATTCAACATGGCCGTGTAGCTAGTTCGCGAGTGTGCTTCGTTATTCGTTTGAATGGATTTAATCAGTGAAATATGCCAAGGAGACGAAACGGTGAGATACCCTTGCCCGACGGATGGGATTTTGCGAGGGACTTTGACGGAAAACTGTATTTCATCGATCATAACAACAGAAAAACGACGTGGATCGACCCGCGAGACAGGTAAGTTTTCCAAAGAGAAGTGTTAACCCGTAAGAGCCCCATGTCAAAACTTGACATTCCAATGAGATTTTCGTCATTTGCTGTTTTAATTTGTGTATTAAACCCGCAGTGGAAGGAAGTGTTTACATTAATTACCTCCATGATGAAGAAGCAAGTAGAAAATATTGATAAAGAACATAATAAATCATCAAAAACAAACTGTTCACTAAACTCGACGCTAGCTCGCTCTGACGGAAAATATGCGCAACAGACTCGATTTCACACGACATTCCACAATTTAGTGACAACAAATGAGCTAAACACAATTTATGGTTATAATTTGTTATCCTTTCGAATCCTTTCGAATGGATTGTGCTAAGTGTTCCATTATCTTATGATTTATTTTGTGAGTTATACCGATACCATTGCTAATGGGGCCACGGAACTGGTTCATTTGGTGGCTGAACTGGCGCAGAAATAATTCGATGGAGCATTTATGACTGTGTTAAGCTCGAGTGTGGCATACCTAGATGGTGCGGTCGGTGGTTTCGTAAGGTACGCGTGTGTGCACGGAGCGATGGCGCGGTGGGAGATGGAATGCAATGCATAGGCAACTTGCGCGGTGTGAATGACAGGCCGTAGAATGCGGCCCGGGCCTGCGGCGATGGTCGCGCCTTTCTAAAGCGGCGCAACGCCCCCTCCCGTAACCCCGCAGCCTCCCCCTTCACCACTAGCTGCAGGTGCCGCAAGACATCCCTATTAAATACCGATCATGTCTCTAGCCGTATCTATTTACCATAGATTAAACGACACCTGCATCATTGTCTTCAAATTATGACCTTAAAAACTTGGCACCTGCTCTTAAAAATGCAAAGAAGCTGTTAAGATGTTAAGGTACCACATCAGAAATGTAGGATATGATATTCAATAAAATGCGCACAAATATAAATGAAGAATTCCCTGTTAATTATTCGAATCTAGAAGCAAATACCTGATGGCTTGAAACTAAAAAGATGATGATGATGAATGATGTTCCTATCTAAAATCTTATAACTACTTCTCTCATACTCCTGATATCCAGCAATGAGCGGTTGCATTTGACGCCCGCCGTACCGAACTATTTATTTATTCAGCTCACATTACACATTTTCTATGGTTGCGCTATTCAGTCAAAAGATATTCATATCCTTTAAAGGTTTTAATAGTTGCATGATAGAAAAGGATTGTCTACAACACCAAGTTTCGTATAAATTCCATAAGTTGAACGCATAAAAGTGAAACAGAAATCCTCCCACCAAATGTAATGTGGATTATGTACATTAAACTTAAAACGATTTAAAAAAAAACTGGTTTCGACCCATTGATTCCACAATAATATTGGCTGCTGACACAGGAAACATAAAGTAGCATTTTTATTGAACCTTTTGGCAAAATGAATATCACAGTATCCGCTCAGCGATCGTGGTGCTAGATGGAATTTATTAAACAATTAGGTATTTCAAGAGTTCAAAATTTCTTAAGAAGAATAAATAGACAGATTAAGATGATTTTAATAATTTTGGTTAAAAATCGACAATGTAAAAGAAAATAGAATATAAATTTTTAATTTTATCAAGCCAGTATCTCTAAAAACTGTTACTAGTTGCTATAAAAACGTTACCTTTCTTTCTTCAGGATATATCTTAGTCAAATTGACTCTAGTGAGAAGTGAATCGTCTGTTTAGAATTGACCTACAAGTCGTGGCACCGCGGATGTCACAGCCGGGGCGTCTACTTGTGCAAAACGCGCACATAATAAACCGAGCCACTAAGCCAATTTATTAAAGTCTAAAAATAACCAGGCCACGTCTCCGCCGCATACTCCATTATAACCTTATATGAGGGATCTGAATGCTCTATGTAAAATGTGCACTGCAGGTGGTGGTGGTTTTCAATTGTCGTTGTTGAAAATGTTGTTTACACGTTGAATTTGTTGGATCATCATTTTGGCGAGATAGGAATATTTATAGTGGTTCAACGTGGACAGACCATATAGTTAAAGCATTGAGTATATTCTTATATATCGCCTCTATAACGAGATGTTGCGTGCGAATGAGCATTTTGCGGTTTTCGCATATCTTGTCACCAGAGTGATACGCATAAAAGTCGTAAAAAAGTCTCGGTAAAACTCAATGATATGGAAACGTTCGACAGCTACGCATTGTAAATAGAGGAAAAACCTCTCATTGTTTCACCGAGCAAGGAACCAAAGAAGACAATGATAGCGGCGATTAACAAGCGAATGGGAACTTATACCCAAGTACGCCAGTGTTTATTACTTTAATTGTATCGGCTGACTGCAGTTTCACTGCGTCGGTCGGTACATTGTTTGGATCGCATACCAGAGTGTTGCGTTCCGTTGCTCGTTAATGCATAATTCTATGTTGCGAGTGAAATTTGCGATAAGTATGCGTGGTTGGATGTGCGTAAAATGGATGTGGGAATCGTCAGGATACTTGAAATTTGAAATGGAATTCGCCTTCCATATGCTAAAATTAAAAACACAAAATTGTAAGGTTTACACTTAAAGCTTTTCAGTTGTTAAACCAAACAGTAAGATCCAATAAAACATTTCTTTCTTTATTATCTAAAAGAGTAGGATCTCGAAGAAGAAATGAATTTTTTGTTGCCTATTTTCTTTTGCTTTGATAATTATATGTAACGAAGCTGTCGAGATTGTGTAATCCAAGTATGTGTAAAGCATCTTATGAATACTTCCCACGCCCAACGCAAGCCCCTTCGAGCGTGAAGCTAAGGGGCTGGGTATTTTACTGCGTTTCTTGACTTTAGACTCTTTAGAGTGGGTGCTAAATAACTCTGTGATTTCGTTTACCAAATCAAACATTCTTAACGTGTTATTTACACGTTACACACCAAGGTGACCGACATTGGTAAACGAAGTGTTGCTGGATTCGAAGTGAACCGGTCACCTTTCCGCTAAAAAGATTTCAATGATGTATGCTTAAGATCCAATATTTAAAGAAGACTGGAACTCTGAATTATAATTAGGCTCAGAAGCGCTTTACAGGATTGCTTTTTTAATTATTGTGTAAAGGGATACTTGATATTCTTAGAGAGGATATTTTCTAAACGGAGTAAAGCGTAATTTCATTTCAGCAAATGCAAATTGTGGGTGCGGCTGGTTGGTCGAACGTTTTGCGTTAGATAGCGTACAGTATTGTTTATCCAAGTCCGGACGCATTCCACAAAGATAAATATGTCCTTGGTGATTTTATACGCAGACGTGCGACTGAAGCGGTCGTCGGCGTAGATACGTTTCTGATTTATTTTGATTCCACTAATGCTGCTAATGACACAAAACCTCTGTCTACGACTATTGAAATGTAGTGATTTACATCCTCTTCGTTTCTATCGATTAAACTTTGATCTTAGATAGTGAGACTTTGACAATAGTATACCTATAAAAAAGCTGTTTGGTAATAACACAACCTTTTAGAAATTGACGTCTATTCAAATATTTTTTTAATACAGGGTCCTGCAAACAATAATTCAAAGCATGTAGGTACAAAATCTCGTATGTTTTAAAATGTATCTATTTAAGTAGACGATAATGAGCGTATAGCATTGCTCTCGTTTCTAATCAAAATTAGCATTCCACTCTTATCTGTACCGACATAGCATTGTGTACCTACTCGATGTGTTAAATTCCTATTTTTGTTAGGTATGAGTTTTAACATCGCTTATTAATTGTTTTGTTAGAGTAAAATAATATTGATTTACGGTACAAAATTTATGAAATATGGCCTTCAAAGTAGATGCCGATGGACTTTCTGGGAGCTTGTTACCATTTATGGTGGGTCGATAAATAAATTGTGTATAGTTGTCTCGCATAAAATTATTTAAACAAGCTTAATTTGCATAAAATGTTGGATTTAGTAAGACGAAGATGAGTATAAGGATGATTAGAAAAATTCCTTTAACAGTCGTAAAACATAATTAAGTATATTTTACTGAATTCTTGGTGGGAATTCTGCATTAAATATTTTTTTTATGAACCACAATCGACTTCCAGCGGTGAATATCGATGTTGCTTAAACTTCAAAATTGTGAAAAAATGTATTTTACTACAATTATACCTTACCCCTTACTATTAATCTGAAACTCCCAGAATTTGTGTCATTGTGTGTGTTTCAAACGCACAAGTTTCTGTAATTATTAATTCAATGTATTTTATTGCATTGTAAAAATATCCAAAAACTTTCGTAATTTCACACCTTAAAAACTTTTATAAATCATGCAAAAAAATTAACTCCTCCATGAACGAAATGTGTTTAAAAAAATGCAATTTTTTCTGTGCTTATTAACAATATCAAAAAAACTAATATTATAATTTTTTAAAGAACGATTTGTTATTATGTTTCAAAGAGTAAGTAAGTATACCTTAATATAGCCGCGGTAATGGTTTAATATCAATATTATTCCATAGTGTAAGTAGGCAGTTATTTCATGTGGATTAGCTATAACCGATAATCGATCTGGTCTTATTAGATTTATACTTTTTGGTTGCGTTTATAAAAAAATATATAATAAAGATTTAATCCCATAATTGAATAAAAAGTTCTTGAAAGCTACCTCACCAAAGGATGCAGGTGATTTGCATAGCTTTATCGAAATTTCAGAATGAATATTGTTAACTAAAATTTTCTACGTAACCTTTTGTTGGTTTATAAAACTTCTTGCATTTTTATATAGGTACTTTTCAGTAATACTATGTCGTTTACATATCATAGAACTATTTGCATGTTCATGAAACAATAGGTTGAGGAATTCGTCCCTCACATGCTTACAGAAGGCACCACTAATACTATCGAACACCTGCACCTTTGTTATCTAACAAATGGTACTTGATCAAATAAGCCTAATTTTTTTTTACTAAAGAATTCATAGCAGCAATAAAGTTTGACTATTCCCATTCCAACCACATTTTGGTGTATGTATGACATACGTATGATTTTATTATC